TGAAATTCCCAGATGTGGACTTCTAAAGCGGCTTGCTCAGGAGCATATCCCTTGAAAAGCAGCTGATTTTGCAAACACTGCAGTGCATCTGCACACACTATTTTCCCCAGCGGCCTACTCCCAGGATCCATCCCAGAAGGAAAGCCATCAACACAGCACACACTGGTTAGCGGGATCACACCTCTTACTACGAGCACGTTCCTCGGTCTGCTCCATCCCTGCTAGTCAGGGGGTAACATAACCCTTATGCACTCTCTCTGGAGGGGATCAAACCCCCCAGGTAACACGAGCAGGCCGTTTAGCAAACCACCTCTACCTTTGTCCTACCTTCAGAAGGCTGTTCTGCCAGACCCATCGTGGCAGTGACAGGCGAGACCCCAGAGTCCAGGGGCAGAGAGATCATGTAGGTCAGCATCCCACAAGACACCCTTAAAAAGATCCTCCCAGGCTTGAGGGCAAATCCTGGGAACAGTTCGGATGCAGCCTCTGAACCCCAGGCTGAGCACAGCTGGCACAGCCAGGGAGGTGAACACAGGGTACAGGCCTGGCTCTGTGAGGAGGGCACATTTCAGCACACCCTTCAGGCTACAGTAACCTCTGCTACCTGTCCCAGTTGCGACAGCCGAATGCAGAGCACGGTTGGGCCGTGAACCCAGGGCTGCAGGATGGCAGCATGTAAACGGCCTCCTGCATTCACCGCGGACTGGATGGGCCACGCTGAGATTTGCAAGCAGCTGCCAGGCAAAAGAAATCAAGAACAACTGTGACATGACATGTGAAACTTCCAGCACTTAATACGATGCATATCAAAACATCTATGGAAGAGGAAACAGTCTGGAAACTGGATAAAGTCTCTCTTGGTATCTCATCTTCTTGACTGTGGGAGAAGTCCTCTCTCACCGGCTATCTGTCCCTCTGGATGCAAACCAGAGCAGAAACAGTAGTTTATTAAAACTTAAATGCAGCTTTTGAAAACTTGCCCAGAGAAACAAGATGTTAATGTAAGTTTTGGCTTGGTCTGCACCGCTTGGGAGAGGACTCCTCCCCTGTAATAAGATGAGCTGTGGCAGCTCTGTTATTTCTATCCCCATGGGCACAAGTACCTGAAGCACACTACCTTCAGCACACCTGGTGCCCCTTCACAGCCCTCAGGCAGGGTCGGAAGGATGTGCAAGCAGCCTACAGAAACAACACATCGGTGCTCTTTCCTCAGAAATGAGGACTGAGGAATCGCAGGACCAGACCTCCAGAGGGAAGCTGCTCTAAGAACTGTCCTCCACCTCAGGACAGAAGTACTCAGCTTTAATGGCAGCAAGACTAGGGACGAAGGGTAACTTTCTAGCAGGAAGAACAACGACACATGAGAACTGATTGCATGCAAAAGTCCTTATCAGCATTGGAGACCTTTTAGATCAGGTTGGGCAAACATTTGTCAGGAATGATGTAAGCCAAGCTGATTCTTACTTGGACAGGGAAATCAGGCTAGATGACTGTCAAACTCTCTTCCAGCCCGTTCTGATCTACAGCCCTGGATCAAGGAACTGGGTGCTGGCCAGTAATCCAGACATTCAGCCATCTGGGTCCCCAGGTATCTCCTGTCACCCCAGCAGCCACTCTGCGTCTCTCCTGGAGCAGAGTTTCAGCCCTACAAAAGCACAGGCACAGCTGAGAGCACTGTCAGGATAAGCACATCTCTCTGACTTTCTAAGGTCCCTGAGAAAGTCCTTTTCACCCCACAACTTGGGTGGAACACAGAAAACACAATGGGTACTTGCAATTCAGGGTGCTCACATTGACATTACACCAGAACAAGAATGGTACTCTGTCCTCCAGCATACCAGATTGTCCAGAACCAGGCCTCTGGTTCACAGTATAAGGCACAATCCCAGCCGTGTATCACAGCCCCCCAGCTTCCCCACACCAGCCCCACACCAAAGCTTGGTTTACTGGCACAAGAACTGAGGTGAAAGCCCCACTTTGCAGCTGTATGTAGACTGAAACCCTCTGCTGACCCCAGTTCTCTCCCGAGGGGATCTCCCCACAGAGCAGGATGCTGATGGCAGGACTCCCCGGCTCAGCTGGGACCACAGCACCATCTGCAGGGCTCTGCCCACAGCCAAGCCTCACCAGCTCCTCCTAAGGAAAGGCCGGCGTGGTCCTAGGAGATACTTGGCACCTGGTAACTCTCCAAAACCAGACGTGAGCACACACACCACCACACTCTTCACCTGGAGTAAATCAAAACCCCTCTCTGAAAGCATCACCTCAGGAAACAAGTCATGGTTTTGACACAGTTCTAAAGGCCCTCTGAATTCCCAGAAAATTAAATGTATGTCAGATACTGGATTACGTAAAACGCCGACTGAAGCGTCCGCCTTCTGTGGCTTCAGGGAGCAGCTCTGCCGAGAGCTCACGCACACAGTGCTGGCCTTGCGCTCGCAGGCAACAAAGACAACACAGACGTGGTCCAGCGCTTCAGCAGGATGCAGTTCCCTAAAACCACCATCTCCGAATAGCTCTGCAGCACTTCTGTACCAAAATGCGCCTGGGCCAGCCTGCGTAAAGCGCTGAAGAACACGCTGTACCACGCCAGCACATCCCCGCAGATGCGAGTCTGACAAATCCAGCCTCTTGGGAGGAAGAACAATTTTTCTCCATTCTTGTCTTTTTGAGAAGGTCAGCAGCACCATGTGATTTTCCAAGATACATAAGCACTATGCAGTGCAAACCCACAGAAATGCAAGCATTTTTATTCCTGATTTAGCTGTAAATATAGGAATTTAACAATTGTCCTACTGGATTAGACTGAGAGCCTCTCTAACAGAGAAAGTGTCCTGCCCAGAGCTTGGACAAGTGATTGATGCTTCTGAGAAAAGGCACGCTGCTTTCTACAGCCCAGCCACCAGCGCTCTCAGAGGGACACCGAGCTCCAGGCTGCTGCAGGCAATCAGCCCACCCCTTGCAGAATGCCACTGAACACTCCCCGAAGGCAGTCAGCCATCCAGCTTTTAAAGTGCCCTGCAGAAGTAACCATGCAGTTCGCTGTTTCATACACAAACACTGCTAACACCCAGACAACATCTGTGAACGCATTCCTGAAAATGACAAACTGAACTTAAAAAAAAAAAAAATTACCCCAAACTACTATTTAAAAAAAAATCCAACCAAAACAACACCTCTTTGACTACAACCTGTACTCACAGTTCTAGCAGGCAAAACTGCCAGGAATCAGCTGTGCTGGACTTCATTTCCAAGCCAAGGATCAAGAGCACTTTAACTGACCTTTACTAGTTCTCTCCTTCCCTAGACATCCCCTACTGTCTTTAACCAGGGCAGGTACCGCAGTCCAGAGCAGCCCCTAACTTCAACTGAAGAGTTACAGGATGTGGCAAACTACCGGGGTGCGCAAAGCGGCAGGGGAGATAAACGCAGTGCGAGTGGTACAACGGGGTAAAGGCCCAGAGGATGGGAAAGGACCCAGCTGGAGACCTGCACACTGGTATATCAGAGCTCAGGTATCTGTAAGAAAGCAGGACCAATGCTCAAAAGTTAAAAGAGTGGGGAGTGCAAGTGTAGGAGAGGTAGAAGGGAAAGGGACTAGATGTGTTAGTGCCCCCTGAATGTGTTGCAGCCTTCTCAACAGATCCAGTTTGATGCTGCAGCTGCTATCAAATGTTTCTGGCTATGCACCCTCAGTTCAGCCTGGACAGAAAGCCCAACAGCACCTTCCTGGTGCATACAGACTGAAAAGGCCACTGTCTGGACACTTCCACCCCTACCGAGTGCTCACCTCTGCTGGCCCAGAAACTGCTTCCTTCCAGCCTGGTAGACCAGATCCCTTCATTTGCTTGCTTTCCTTCCTTCCCTGGCTAGCTATGGTCAGGACGGGAACTTGCAACACTAGAGAAAGCAGCAACAACAAGCAGCAGCTTGAGTTTAATCCTGCCATTATTTATAATGTCATGTTGAGTGTCCATTTCAGGGACTTCTCTCAGTGTTGTTTCAGGCAGCCCTACTCTGAGTCATCCTTCCCAAAGAAACAGACCTCGGCTATTCCCACGACTGTCAGGAGACTGGGTCCTACTCCAAACTTAGTCTGTTGTCAGATTTTGTACAAATTATTTCACCTCCCGTTTTTCAACTTCTCCATCTGTAGAACTTGAGTAGTGACTCTGCCCTTCTCTGTAAAGTCTTGCAGTTAAATGCCTTACCGGGAAGTTTAGCATTTCTACTGCTATCAGAAGCAATGTGTGGGTGCCAGATGGTTATTCAGGACCGCTAGCATGTTTGAAAACACTGCAGTTCTTGTAGGACACTGATCTGAAGCACTGTCTTTATTAGAATGTTTTGATTGTTTCTGGCAGCATCCACCGAGTGTCAGGTGCTGCAGATTCAGACAGTGTAACACATGCACTGATCCTTCAACGTCACATCACTCAGCAGGACTGGGAAACAAAGGCTGCTTTGCTGCTGGAGACCTATTCCTGAACATCAGGATTGTGGAACAGAACTGCATTTGACACGTGCAGGTTAGTCATGTCCTCTTATATGTGCAAATCCATGTGCCAAATAAACCAGAGTTTAGACCTGTCATCCAAGCCGGTCACATCCTGTATACATTTGTCTCAAGGCCAAAAAAGCAAAAGTGACATTTTTCTAGGTCAAATGGGTGACCTGACATGTTGAGAAGTTGCATTTTTAAGGAAATATCTGGAGCTGTGAACTCTCCCGTATTGGGTTCCGCGATTAACGAGTTAGTCTAGCAGAGCAAACTAAAAAGCTGCATGCAGGTCCCTCAGGCAAGCAAAACACTTCCGCGTGCTCTGCCAAACTTCTGCCTCCCTGGATGAAGTCTGTACCGGGCAACGAGGGGGTCTGCCACTGCAGGGGGAGTTCAGCGCGCTGGGGAACGAAGAGGAGATTCCTTTGCCCCGCGGAGTTTCCAACAAGCTGTTCAGCAGAAAAAGCATACTGCCAGAGGAGTCATCTTGGTACAGCTGTCACCTGCTTTGGCGTTGGATATGCACAAACCTAGGCCTGTGGGAAAAAGCGTGACCACAGCTTTAAGTCTTGCTAGGGAGAACACACCTCTGCCTCACCCTATAAACCCAGCAGTTTCCCAGTGGTGGCAGTATCACCAGAGCTAGTCACCCCATCAGAAACGTTCACCCACGTCAGAACTTCTGCCTCAAAACACTTGCCAGGGTATGTCAGGATATGAGAAGAGTGAGATACCTGAAGGGAGCCCCAGTTTTGTTCAAGATGGGCTTCAGCTGCAGACTTGCTCTGGCTGAGATCACTCAGGGAGCAGGGACACAATCTACAAAGGGCACAGACCTGTACCTGAAGCAAAAACCGGAAGGTAAAATAAACTTACTTGCCACAGAAGTCCTTGTGAATGGCACGGAGAACAAGTAATAAGTCGGGGTGTGCCTGTAGCCACTTCTCCACCATATTTGGGTGTCTGGGATCAACTTCCAGAAACACGCTCCTGAAAGGACACATTTGGGAGTAGAAACTGGGGAGGTGCACACATAATAGGTTGCAAAACTAAGAAAAATTAAGGTCTGTCTTTCTGGATGACTCCCAGCAGTGCAGAAAATGGGGAGGTGAGCAAACACACTGCAATCCAATAATCCTAAAACAGGTCACAGCTGTTCACTGAATATGCAAATCCCAAGTACTTCCTTCAGGTGGAGAAAATGTTGGTCCTGGTGGGAATTCTCACAGTATCCCTCCGCATGAGCGGTTAAACCTTGGCACTGAGATGCGAGGAGCCCTTCTGAACCCCATGCAGAGACACCACCAGCTCCCTTTTCCTGTGGTCCCCAGAGATGTAAGGCCAGAATGAAGCTTTAAGGTGCAAACACGTGAACACTGAGCACTGGACTGGCAGCGTGAAGTTCCTCTGTGTAAGCAGGGTGACGTTAAGTCCCCATGGTGAGAGTCAAAGTACGAGTCACTACACACATTTTCCCATAGTGAATGTCTCCATAAACCAGTTATGAGACCGCCACCAGCAGTCAGACCATAAAGCCCTAGACACGGGACTGTGCAAAGGAGAGAGCAGCAGGGATAAGGAAACTCCTCAGCCAGCCTCAGCCAGTGCATCAGGACTAGGCCAGGACACTGCAGGGCTATTTCCACCGCTGCTGCAGCCAGGGTTTCTGACGCTGAACCATTTGAGTCTCCGCTCCCACGAGGAGGCAAACTACCCTAGCTTACAGGCACGTGGGGATGATGTAACTGGTTACAGCCTGTGACAGCGCAGCAAGATGCAAGTTTAACAGGCTAAGGACAGAGGCCAAGCCCCAAGCATATGCTCTCCTGAGAATTCCTAAAACATCCCACACTGAATACTCCCTATAAATTCACCAGACTAACTACAGGCTGGGTGTGGATCTCATTCCTGATCTTAAAAAACTTCCACCCCTCAGCTGGGGCTCCACCTCATAAAACAAGCAAAAAGGGAAGGAAAAAAACCCAATCCTAACAAACAACCCCACGGGACCAATCTCTGCTGCTGGGAAGTTCTGAGGAGCATTTTCTGCTTTTGTGGTCATGCAAAGATGAGGAATAAATCTTTCAGCATGCAGTATGCCTCCCAACATTCCTTCCTCTTCTCAGAGCAGCAGATTTTCAATGACCTCTCTTAACGCTGATGTCAGCAATTTTCAACAGGGTATGTGAATGCCCTGGCACAACAGACTTTTGGGTATCAGTATGTTGATCTTTAAGCACTAAATGGATCCCACGTGACAGGGAATAAGAACAATCAGTCTTGAGTATTAACCATGGAGAAATTTAACATTTAAGAAACTATCCCTAGCCGGTCATCTTTCTCCTGGGATATTCAGCATCGTATCCTGGCACAATAAGCAAGTTTCCCCTAATTAAAGGGTGGAGGGAAGTAGAGATCTACATCCATTCTCACAGAGTTATACACTGCTTCTCCTTCATCAGTCATTCTGCTTAGAAAGCTTCCTTTTTTCCACTCTCCCTTTCTCTGCTGCTCTTTTTTCTTCCTGTTGCTGCTTTGACCTTTAAAGATTCTCACTTCACTAATGACTGAAATACCACCACTAGTCAAGGAAGGCCCATATCCTTTATTAACCAATTTCAAGCTAATTTGGCTTATACACATGACATTTTTTAAACTGCTGTTATTAGATGGGGCAGGGATGGGGGAAACAGACGGACATTTTCCTACCATTTTCCCTCTGTACCTTCCTGTATGAAAAGGAAACAGAAGTTATAGAAGTGAATGGACAAAAGACATGAAATTCCAACAGAGAACAGTTCTTACCCAGAATCCTTCAGAAGAGAAGGAGCCAGAGCCAGAATTGTTTTGATAACTCTCATCCCATCATCTCCCCCATCCAGTGCATCAAGGTCCTCATAGCTGGAATATGGGAATAAGACGACATTAGCAGTAATTCTTGCGGTATAAGCAACGCCCGTGATAGTGCAGTGCACCCCACTCTGTGGAGAAAGATGCCCCTAACACCCCTGAACTCCAGTGCTCCTACAGCCAGGGACAGCACTCCTAGCTCTGAGGTAAAATGCAGGCAGTGAGAAGGCAGCTGCCACTAGGCTGAGAAACTCCTTGTTGAGCACAAGCAGAAAGCATCCCCTCAAGTCCCCTGGAACATGCCGGGGTACACAGTGCCAGCACATGGCTCTGTTCTCCCTGTGCTAGCTGGACAGCAAGGCATCACTGGCTTTATTTCAACCATGCCACCAGCCAGGTTGCACTGCCTTCTAACCTAGTACAGCAGATCAGGAATCTGCTTTTTGGAATCTGCTCTGACGCCTGTCTTGCACGGGGTGGGCGCAGGGCTTTGTCTGACAGGCAGACAGAACCAGCACACGCGAAGTACATTCACATCCCAAAAGAGCTTATTCATGTTTGCATGGGTTTGTTGGCTTAAGCTAAGTATTGGGATGAGAATGGGCCACAGCATTTCCACCCAAGGTGGTTTTTTCCATCACAAAAAGCTGCTCAGATTGCTTACACTTCTTTTCATAAACTCACACAAATAAGCAGGGGCAGGTCTAACAGGAAGAATGTTCTGAAATGGTTTTGGAATGGAAACTTGGTCATTTCAAAGTGCACGCTTTTTCCTTTTGCGTAAGTATTTAAAATACTTTGACACCGTTTCATACCTGTACGCAGTTATCAAAGTAGCACTATGTTATTATATACCATAGAAACACACCTACCCCACGTACACGGGTACTACACTTCTATGTTCTGTGTGCAATTGTGTGTAGTACAGGGAGGCAGACAGAAGACCTTGCTTCAAGGAGAAGAAAAAGCCATTTGCTTACCGGAGGATTTCTGCGTCCAAGGAAGCCATGTCTTCATGGAAGACATAGGGGGGGTTACTGACTATGAAGTCTATGGGGCCCCAGAACAGCAGCTGCTTGGCAGAACCTAGGAAAGACAAAGAGTCACAACCAGCTCTCAACCATAGCAATCTTCCGTATAAGCTCAGTGTCAAAATCCCAACCAGGAAACTCTCTCTCCAAACACAGGCCCATGTGTGTTTTGCTCTGCTTTTGTCTGATAAAATTGTATCCCATTTCTTTTTGAGCTAGCCCCTGGCCTGCTTGCTCTCCCACCTTGATGCACGAGTGACACAAAGCTAAGCACAGGCAACGTATCATTTTTCACACCAACAGCCCCGCTTAGCAGAACACATTACAAAGCACAGGGACCTTGATGCTCTGGAGCTCGGTGCCCATCTGAATCTAGAACAACAACTGGAACTTGAGAGAGCCCACTTGGGAGCTCAGACCAGCTGCCATGATGCATATCCTTCCTCCTGCCAGAGCTGCAGAAGGACATCTAACGAGTGAGAGAGCTAGGCCTTCGCAGCAGCATCAACCACCTAATGGTTTGCTCTTCTGCAGGTTCAGCTCACTGTGCTCATGCTGTGTCTGGACTGAGACATAACAGCCCTGAATGAGACAGACGTCACCACTTGAGTGTGGCACTGTCCTCAGGCCAGCCTCTTGGCACAGCGCTTGGCCATGCAGGTGCCGTGCCAACACGGCTCCGTGGCTGTTGGCCTGCAGCTGGCTGGCTTACCGCTGCTTGGAGTCTGGGCAGCGCAAACTCAGATTTGCAGGTAGAAGACTGTGCAGACACGTATACAGTGTCAAAAATAACAGCGTCAGAGAGGTGCACTGATCAAGCTCCAATGCTGGAGCTTCGGGCTCCACAGCTCCTGGCTAAGAAACAGCTAAGTAGGTATCCACCTAACTGGATAAATCTCACCGAATTGCAGTTTTAACTGGTTTCAGCCTGATTTAGGGAAGACAGCAGGTAACATTCCCTGGTTCCCATAATTTCAGATTAATAAAACTGGTCTTTTAATCCAAGGTCTGGATTAAATCTGGGCTCCAACATCAATGGAGAGACAGGTATATACACACTTATCTAAAGCATCCATGTCAGACTGGAATGAGTTATCCTGTGTACATATTTGCCTCTTCCAACACTGTGCTCAGGCACAACCTTTAGACACCTAAAATCAGGAACAATTCCCCTTCTGGTGCAGTCAGGGACTTCTCTCAACTGATCATCTAGCCTGGAAATCTCTGACAGGAAAAGTTTCACTGGCTCACTTCTTACTGACCTCTTTCTCTATTAACTTCAACACCTCCCTGACCCCTGCATCCCAAAGGGGTCCCTTGGCATCCCTCATGCCTGCCTCCCCCCATCAAAGTAAAAAGGGAGAAAGATAAGGGGATTAAAACAGTGAAAAGAGTTACTGTATGAAACGTCTTGGTGGAGGATGTGGATCCTGTCCTGGAGTTGCAGCCTGTAAAAAGCCAGATGCATGAAGAGAAAGAAGAAAGATTAGGAGGCATGCTTGCGTAGATTCAGGAGCAGCACATTCTATAAATAGATCATTAAGTACCACACCTCCTATCTGACACACATATATCCTACCCCACTGACTGCAGCTGGATTCCTCTCAAAGTGCAAGGGAAGTTTAGGATCTGCTCTCCCCCCCATGAACAACATCCAAAGCAACGAGCACACTGTGCACCCATGCTGATTCCAGGGGGCAGCTGTATGTATCACCCTTTGCCATGCAGAGAGCAGTAGTCCCTCACCCTGCTGCACATCAACTACATCTCCAAGGCCTCTCCCAGGTGAGCTGACCATCACTGGAAAAAACCCCAAACAAAACCTCACAACAGAATCACCTGCTTGATATACATAAACTTGCTATTTTAAGTGGAGACAATATGCTCATGTTTGCCACCCTCTTTCTCGAGCCCCTTTGATAATCTAGATCTTAACAGTGTTCTGGCATCGGGGTGCATTTTCTAGGGATCTTTGGATCTCATCTCACATGCCAGTGTTAAGGTGACGAGACGTTACTGCACACTACCAAGAGGCCAGCACATGCAGCGCAGCAGAACCCCTGTGCCAGACGCAGAGCTTGGAAAAGGGACTCCTTCAGGAACAGCTCATGCACAGGCTATACAGTACAATGAATTTAAAATACACACTAAGATCTCTCAGATGCCAGTTGCCAACTCATCATCTTTCTTGCCCTTGACATCTCTGTACACGTTAATTGGGAAACACATGTTATGGTCAGTGCCTTTCCTTCCTAGCCAGAGGTTCCCAGGGTGCTCAGCCCAGCAGAACCCCTGAAAGCACTAGAAAACGCAAACACCTCTCCTTTACCTCCGACAACTGAGTGAGTAAGCATGCTGGCTTGCTATTTTTAAGAAACAGGTCTATAAACACATTGGTATTTCTTAGGGAAAAGGCTTGGCCAAGATTCTAATCTGACTCACTGCACTAATCCAAGGTAGAACAGCCTTGAGACTGCCAGACTGCCACTACATGGTGTGCCACTCTGTCACAACCTGGCATGATCCGTCCTTTGCTGCCAGCCCACTACGGAATATGCCCCCTGCCAGGGGAAAATGTTTAAGGGGATTGTTGTCTCAACTCTTAGGAATCCTGAGCGAACTTCCCTTGATGCTCCTGGGACAGGAAAGAGAGGTCAGTCTGAAAGCAGCCTTGGTATCTGGTGACAGCCTGATACTACAGGAGAGGTTGCAGAAACAGAGTGAGACAACAAGGAAGGAACAGAGAACAAGAACTCTAACTTCTCAGCTACATGGTCCACCCACCAAAATCCCTCTCTCTTCTCACCAGGTTTGCCTCTGGCTTTTGTGAAGACATTTGAGCAATGTCAGAGGAAGAACACTGCAGATTCAGAAAAACCAGGCTGGTCAGGATCTGCTAGTGGAGCAAGACTCCAAGCCTCCCACAGGAGATGTCGTTCCCTGACCAACAATGGCACACTGAGGGCGCACGTTCCCCCAACTCCTGTCTCCTCAATTCAGTCAACATCTGGAGAAAACAAAACTGCCCTGCTCTTCCCAGCATGTTCTCTCCTCCCACGAGAGACCCACCACACTCCCAGCTCTTTGTTGCAACACCTCAGGGCTCCCTGTGTGGTTCACGGAGCACGCTGCCTTATACCCAAGCCCTGCTTGCCTCTGCCGAGGGCCTACGGTCCCACCCTGTCAGCACACACAGGTGTCGACAAAGGGAGGGATTCCTGCACGCCTGCCGTGTGCCCAGATGGATCAGTCACCAGGATTGGTTCAGTGACAGCAAGGCTCATCTAAGCATCTAGAGCACACAGCTGTGATAAGGAAGCTCTGGAAAGAGAGCAGGAACCAAGCTGGCTTCAGTCAAGCAGTAACACAGCTTATCCTACTGGCTGCTCTCCCAAGAGCTACAGGGCACCATGCCACGGGCAAGATCACAAGGACACAATGAAAACATCCATGGAGAAACAGGAGGTTCTCTGGCATTGCATTTACCCTCCCTCAGCCACTCTTGAGCCAACAAGCAATGTTAATAACAAGTCTATTTTTTCCAGATGCCAGAGCAATGATCTACCAAGGAGGCAAAGATCTGGCCTGCTTCATTCTGTGTGTGAAAAGCTGCAACAGAACATGGTTTGACACTGCACGTTGTACTGAGTTTGTGTGGCAAGGGGTTGGTAGCGGGGGAGCTCCCATAGGAGGCAGCAATAGGAATCCTTCCTGAGATTACTCTAATTAATGCCCAGGGCCCAGTGGGTTCTGAGGATGTGAATACATAGTAGAGCTCTGTACCTCTTACAATGTCTCCAGAGACTGGGGACCTGGACTCAAAAGCATACAGCGATTCCAGCTCTGGTGCTCGCTGTGTTAGTGATGGTCCTGAATCGCCTGGGTTAAGAAAAACCACCTAAGGAAGCAGTGCCACTAGGAAGGACAAGGTCAACCAGATACAGAGCTGTTCTGCCTTCAGACACAAGACACTTGACTCACGCAGGGGGTTGGACTAGATGGCAGTTAACGGTCCCTTCCAACACAAACTCTTCTGAGATTCAGCAGCTCTGAACATCCAACCACAGCACAGATGTCGTGCAAGAACACGGAACCCAGCAGTATCATTCTCACCAAACCCAAGACTGCAAGGAGGATGCTGAGGGATACCACACTAGCATGTCAGGGTGAAGGTGCTATGTGAGTGTGCAAACATCTACCCAGAGGAGCAATGTCAAGCACAGCAATAATGATACCAGGAGCCAGAGAAAGGTTCAGGCTACACTTGTCCTTGACCTCCTAAGTGACACACACACTCTTGCTACCTGCTGACTTCAGTTTCCCAAGTTCCCAGAAAGGGATAAGAGCAGTTACCATGAAACACTTGGAAAACTCTAGAAAGACAGAGAGCACGAAAGTACTACTGTTTTATTTAGGCTGCTGCCTTTGCAAAGCACTTTCCCAAGTCAAAGGAGAAAATATACTCTGGTAAATGTAAGCATTTTTTTTTTTCCCTTACACGCTTTAGGAGCTCAATCTAGGGAAACCGGGAAAACATTCCCTGATTTCCACTGGCATAAATGTGAACCACAAGCCCAAATACAGAGGGCTCTTAATCTTTCTCAAACAACAATTTACAAAAAATGGGTAATATGTGGGCTCGTACCTATGTGCATTCTCCCTGGTGAGATCCACAGCAGCCTTCTCTTTATCCACAGCTATCACCTGGCTCTGGGACAGGAAAAACAACAACAAATAAGTGTTACGACATCAAGGTTCCTGAGCAGGCATGCTCTGCCAAAAGGGACATGCAAGATAAGAACTGACAATCCACTGTTCACTCTTGGCTCCTAAAACAGATAGTTCAGGCCACTGATGGGATCACGAGTCACTTCTCGTACGGCCGCGAACGTGACAGAAGGCACTGTGATGCTGCCAGCCGCCTACCAAAATAGACAGGCTTCTGACTGAACCAACTCAGCTGGCAACAATGGAGTCACACTGACTCCCATCACCTGATACGTTCACAGCTTCTAGTCAGACTCGATGCTCTGGCTAGTCTGGGGTAGACACAGGTTAAAGGAAAATCATGTCCTAGGCTTCTTCTCTCCAGTGCGGGGAGAATCCTTCCAGCATTACCACCACCACTTGGACAGAGGTTCTGGCATTTTCCACCTGTTACGCAGACACCTTTTGCCTAGTTACCCCACTACACTCCTTACACCACCTTCACTGTGTGTATTGACTGCGCATACTTGACTGCGTGTCAAGTATTTGAGAGTTCTCCAGTGTAACATTAAGAGATGGGACTACAAGGTCAGAGATCTGTTTGACCTTCCATTCCACCTTGGGAAAAGTGCAGGCAAAGGCCTGACCTGCTTTTGCTTTGCCTGAGGTTTTTTAAAATGTAGATGTTAGTAAGTATTTACATACAGGAAGCAGTCTTAAAGAAACTACTTCGAATCTGGAGATGATGGTGTGATCAGCCACCATTCCTAGGAGGATTAATTTCACAGCTTGAGACTAGCACCCACGCACATGAAGCTAACCCTGAAGGTGAAGGAGACAGCTGAGTCCGTGAGTGAAAAGTTGCTGCTGTTTTCTCAATACCTCAGTGCCAAATTCTGCCTCAAACACTAAAGAGATTACACAGAGTGTAAACTCCATTTAGCTGTCAGTGTGGCTACCAGGAACTCTGATCAGTCAAGGCTCCTTATTTCTCTGGGCACGGTAGTTTGTGTTAGTCAGCTGGAAAAGGACTGTTTTCAGCTACGGGGACAGACTGACACAGTTCTTCAGCAGGCAAGGAAAAGAGCATGAAGTACAGCTCAGGAAATCAGAGTAATTACACTCTGAAGTCATGAAGCTGAAGTGTTAACCTTATCAGGTCACTGGGAGGAGGAACACGGGCACCAACCTCTAATTCTCACATACCACGTCTTACACTTCTACAAGAGGAGGGGCTGCCCACAGCAATGCTTGTTTGCAAGAAGGTCTGCAGTTCTGAGGAAAAGGGAGTATCTTTCCCTTAACCACAAGTGATGAGATCTGGGATTCATTTCTCTCTCTGTTTACCAACAGTATCTCAGTAAGCATGTTACATGCCACAATAATCAGGGGCAAGGGCTTTGGCCACCCAGATCTCAGTCCCCTTCCTGCTCTTCTCACACTGTTGAAAAGGTGTGGGCTGTTATTAGGGAACAAGAGACTTAAAACCAGTGGCTTGACAGTGTGACATATGCTTGTCATATTGATCCCAAGTACTGACACTTCCGTGGTAATCCCTTCCCTGTATTCATTTAGCCTCCAGTCTCCTAGAGACAAGATCTTTCGATTCACTGCAAGGTGATCTTTAGAGATGACCGCCCCATAAATTCAACTAACAGAGCGTGTGCCCATGCCTCAGTCCCTCTTCTCCACAGCCCCGGATATTAGCTTAAACCCACACCCACGAGTGCTTTAAGCTAAGGTGATTAATAGCGAACCGTGACAGCTGAAGAATGAGCACATTTGCTTCTTTCATTCTGACTATGTCTCTGCTACTCCTGCAGATAGCTGGGCAGAGCAATTCCTACATAACCCTCTTCTACCCAGCATGAGCTTGCAGAGCCTGGCTGGCAGAGACCTTAGCTGCCAAAGTCCCAGCAAAGCAAAGAAGTTTGTCTGTGAAGTCTCAGTGCACACCTAGTAGAGTGGGATTGTCCTGTACCACAAGCACTGAAAAAAGCTCACCTGTGGCAGTTTGCACAACAGACTCAGAGAAATTGCTCCAGAGCCACAGCCAATCTCCAGGATGACAGGATCAGGGGCAGGAACTGGGAAGCAGAGGCTTGAATTCTTCTCACATTTCCGAGATTCTTCCTCCACAACTAAAGAGATGATATCCTGGCAAAGGAAAATACCAAAAAAGATCTCTAAGGGAGCTGTTTTGACTCACACCTTTGTGGTCTGAGAACTGGAGCTTAAATTTCTGGGCTCTGTGGCCCAATAAAATGTATTTTTGTGGCTGATTTTTAAAACACAGATGACAGCAATGGAACTGACATGTCACAAGTCAGCTCTATCTCCCCCACAGGATGCTTTGATTAGTAACCAAATCCTCAGGATACAATTTCCCACAGATCCTCTGAAATCTTCCAGCACTGTTGGTAAAAACAATAACCAAACAGCTGGAGCACATTATCTTCTGCAACATCATTTTATTTACTCCAAAGATTCTAGCTTTCAGAATTTGTAAGCTTCAAAATTGAAGATTTCTACACTGTCTTGGTACAGTATGTAATCTGGAGGCAGAGGTACAGCGCCTAACAGCATCTAAACCAATAATCCAACCTGCAGATGAAAAGCAAAGGCAATGAATTGCTAAATGCCCCAAACGAGCAGCTCCCTGCATGGATTTCAGATTGTGGACTCCTGCTGCATTTTGCTGGTATGAAGTCACATGGAGAAGATTTTCAACCACGCTCCCGAATCCGTATGCACCTCTGCTTTTGCCGCTGCTGCCTCCTCCCTCTCATCAATCTCCTCTTTTTAAAATCCCTTTGCAATTTCATATAAAATGCAACACAGCAGGAGAGGTCTCAAAGATACACAGCTTAAGGTTTGTGAAAATGAATGACTAGCTACAAGAGAAAGCACACACATGCCTCCCTCAGACTGCAGCATGAACTTCCCTTGTAATTCACCAGAGAAATCTGGAAGACAGAAACCTTGTAAACACTGTGAATGCATCAGCAGCTTCAGCAGGTGCTCACGACCCCCTGCAATCCTTGTGCTTCCATGGCACCACAGTACAGAAGCAAGTATCTTACTGCCCCAGGCACTCCCACGACAGCCAGGTTATTTCACTTGAGAGGTCTGCTCTTGCATCTCGCCTGTACATCCAGAAAGCTTAACACAGTTTACAAAGGATAATTGGCTTGATTTTGCCACCAGCTAAAAATGAAAGACATTTCCAGGAAAATTACAGGCATTCAATTTTTACAAGGAATCTTGCATGTTCCTGGCATAAGCAGGAATATTTAAAAGCAACACGTCCTGGCAGGTAGGTCAGCTTCTATTTAGTAAAGCAGTGGCCTTTTTCAGGAGCCCAAAGTGGGCAGGCTTGTTCATAAGAGCACAAGCCCTTCCTTGGATCTACTGCCGTAAGCAGGGTGCAGTGTAATAGACGCCTTGTGCAAAGCTGTAGGTTTTGTGAAGGCCTTTGCTGCTGTAAGCCATCCTGCAGGGTAGGCCAACTGGCAACTGCAGTAAGGAGGGCGGGAGGCAGGATGCAAACAGGTATAAAAATGGAGTGTTAGGGCAGATGAGTTTCAAGGAAACATCCCTGGCAGCAGAGTGCCTGAGACAGGCTGTGTCATGGTGTTTTCTGAGGTTTCCCACAAGACCCGAACTGCTTTTAAGCATATCAACGCACTGTGCCCCTGCACGCGAGCACACACCCAGTGCTTAGAGAAGAGGAGTGAAGCTCGCACCCCTTCCCAGTCCAGGATGGAGAAACAGGCATGTGCCAACACTGTCTGGGCCTTGCAAAGCCAGGCAGCCTTGAACTACTCTGTTTTAACAGAACCCTTTGCCTGTTGATTCCTCCTGCTCAAACAGCCTCAAACCATAAGCAAAAAGGAAAGATTTGGTTTATCTGAACATGTAAGCACTCTGTATTTCTTCCAGTAACATTACTACTGCTTCAGATCAGCTTGGCTGAGCCTTTGCCATTCTCAATTGAGCTGTGTTGGGTTTTGCTGCTTTTCCACTATCCTGACTCTGCCAGCAAGAGCCTTTGGGGAGCCAGTGCTTCCTCCACTTGCTTCAGGCTCCCTTTCACAGCCACAGCCTTTTGGGACATTCAGGGCCTTTTGTAGGAAAAGGCACCTTCAACTGTTTTCACTGTTTGCTCTCAATCTTCTCCAGCCATTGAGCTGGAACGAGCCAGCAATGACCATGCCTTTGCTCACCAGATCCTTGCTGACAACAGCCCTTGTGCATCTCCGGAGCGTGCTCTCTGCCCTCCACAGCTTCCAGAGCGCCCCAGAGACGAGCTCTGCTGTGCTCACACCCCACAGCCCAAGAGAGAACAAGCAGCAGCCCACGGGCTGGAGGGCACTATTCTGAGAGGCCTCTCTCGGAGCATCTCTTCACTGCTAGTCTGTTCCTCGGCCAGGCATGAGGAGCCGCGCTGCAATGCCCTGCTCCGGTTACCGCGCCGCTACTGGCACTGCGCTCCTAAGGGAGTCCTGCTAACAGCTCCAAACCCACATACTCCTTGCTGCTCCTCCGGGATTCCTTCCCTAGACAATTACGGAGGAAAATGTTCTTACAGGCTCCCAACAGGACAGTGGGACACCAGTAGAGGACTACTAGCGCTCGGATAACAACAGGGGAAAATAAGCACCTTATCTACCCACTTTTGTGGGAAAATGGCTTTTGCTTTTCTGCTGACAGCTCCAGACAAATCCGTCTGCAAACACATCTGCAGCGGAGACAGCCAGAGACTGCAACCGCAGCTGGTTTGGGGAAGCAGGTGCTGATGATTCCAAGACCACAGAAGAAGAGACACCGAAAAAATTCTGCTTGGCCATTAAATCACACGTTTAAATACCAGTCATTTCTGGTCACTTACAAATGTTTCCAGGAAATCTCTACAGTAACTCAGAAGAACCATCTGTCTCCGGGGCTGATCACAGAGTAGCACAAGTTACTGATTACAAACGTCCAAATGTAACTTCCATATGGTAGAACTATTGTCACCATTTATTAACTTCCTCAAGGTTTATCATCAGTAATCTCAAGCTTGGAGGTTTTAGTGGAACTTCTACGTTACACATTCCCCAGTGGAAGTATTTTTAGAGTCCTTGCCAAAGCCCCTGTTCACATATGACTGACTTCAGTCTTCACCACAAGTATATTAAAAAAGGGATGCTGGTATTACTCAGGCTTTCCATCCCACTTCCTGACCCCCTTGCCTTACTGTCTTGGTTATTTCATATATTCTTACTGAGATAGAGGCTAGTTCTCTCCTAATACATGTTAGTCATAACACTTCAAAATTAAAAGATATTAAAAAATAATGCGATGACTTAAAGAAACTACACCCTTCCCCAGACATTACTATCTCACTACAATCAGGAAGTTCAATAACTATGAAAAGAAATAATTTCCAAAATAAACTCGATTGACAAGCAAAACAGAATATGTATTCTAACTGGAAAATTATGAGATAAAAAAATTACTAGTACAGATTATTCAATCTTGAATTAAATCTGCAGTCATGTATGTATTAAAAGCAAGAAGTAAAGACAAAACAGAATGTACTGGAAAAAGACATTCTGTAATTCTGAATTAACTGGCTGTGATACCATGGTCCTTCACTTGCAGCTTTCATGTGAAAACCACACTTCCCCACCATCTGCAGGAGTCAGGAAAACCCAGCAACCACGACACGGTGTGGCCAGCTCACCCGCTGCCACTGCCACTAGGCTTCCTTACAGAAATCAGGAGTGGTTAAGCTACCCAAAATTGTTTTGAAACATTATTTTTCAGATTAGTCTTAGCATTTTTCATCTTTTAGCAAGCAATCGAGGTGAAATCTGTGCTTCTCCAAGCACACCCTCATCTCCAAGACGTCACCAATGGAAACTGATGAATGATGGCACTTTGCAGAACACAGCAGAAATCACCACTTTCAAATCTCATCTTGGGAGACCAAGTGTTTCTGGCCATGCATTACAGTGTTCACAGGGACTACAAAATGCCCTGCAAGACAGACATTCCCTACCTCTGTCCAAGAATCCAACCAGAGCCACAGCTGGGGAAGAGCGAAGCGCTAGAGACGTCAGTCCCAGACATACAGAAGCTGGGACAACAGCAGATGCCCAAAGGCTGTGGTATTTCTTGTGTAGGATGTCCCACATCTTCTCAGACTGAACAAACATCTGCTCATATAATGCCATCACTGCTAAAAGTCATCTTAACCGTCAGTTCGATCGCCAGCTCTGAAGTTCGAGAGGTGAAATTATAAAAATTCCACTAGGAAATAAAACACTTCAGCAGCCTAAGTAATAAACCTTTGGAAGCTGTTGGGTAAATTCTCCGCAACCTGGCACTCTCCACTGAAATGGCAGGCTGTGTAAAAGGGCTTACCTTCACTTACACCCTTTACACAGAGAGGGAAATGTCCCTTACTACAGAAAAACGCTGTTTTGGATAACACGAAGACTTGACAATCAGTCTTTTGTCTTTATAACAGCAAAACATGGAAAAACGAGTTGGCTTGCTCAGGTGCCTTGTCCCTGCACAGGCTGAACACTTCAGCACCTTTCACACGTTTATCCTCACAACTCCCACTTTCCAGATGAGCAAGTAACACAGTGACCATCCCAAATTCATGGATGACAACTATGGCAGAGCAGAGCATTGGACCCAATGCTCCAGAAGCCTCACCCGCACCCTTCCAAAGACACCACTTTTGATGGTGGAAACAGGGCCCCCAAACTCCAGTTAAGAACAGGCAGGCACACCATTGTGTGAGGGCAACAACTGACCTCCTGCAGAAAAGCAGAAGGCACGGAGATTGGAACCAGATTCCCACATCATCTAAACAAAGAGCACTTGGCTGCTCTTGAATCACCTCTTTGTTTTTATTGTTGCAGATAAAAAATGTAAATATCTTTAAAAAAAAATAATCCAAAGTGCTGTATTAAGGAACAAGTAAAATCATAAATCCATACAGCACCTTAGAAATGTGACCCGATTCCCCAGTGCCCCCCCGCAGGCTAAGCAATGGACAGGATGAAGGCCCAACTGGGGAGTTATTTCAACACAAACTATCGCTTACAGTATGTGTCATTATGGTCAGCAACAACACAGCTGACACTAAAATCCTGCTA